CCTCGATGCGCCTCTCCCGAGCCCAGATGGCGAGCCACAAGCGTGGGTTGCCACCGTGACGCTCCATGTGGCGCATCACCGTGAGCACGGTCGCGGGGCCCTGCAGCGGGAAGTCGGGGTCGACCACGCTGTGCGACTCCTGGCCGCACTTGCGAAAGCCCTTGCGCCGGCTGCCCTGCTCGTCGTAGTCCAGCCAGAGCGCGCGAGCATCGCCGCCGTCGGCGGCGGCGGCTGGCGCTCCAGGCTCGGCAGCGCCCTCTCCCAGGATGGTCGGCGCGCGGCCCGCTTCCGGCTGGTCCTGGCCAGCCACCAGCAGCTCCGCGCGCGCCGTGCCACACCAGTCGGCGACGAACTGCGGGACGAGGTCCGATCGAATGCAGGTGGCCCGCCGATAGCCATCGCCGCGGTCCACGAGGGCATCGTACTTGCCGACCCGCACGTCCTTCGCCTCGAGCGCCGCGACGGAGCCCACCGCCCCGATCACGGACGGCTCGGCCAGCACCCACACATGCCCGTCGATGGGCGTGGCGGTCCAGGACCGCGCGCAGGGAACACCTCGGGAGCCTCGTCGCCTATGGCAGCCGAGCCCGAGGCGGCGGGGCGCCGAGTGCGGCGGCGCGAGAGAAAACTCCCACCAAAGAACTCGTCCAGCCCCTTCACCTCCCCGAAGCGCACCATCACCCGCTCGGGCCGCTGTAGCTCCAGACCAGCCGCACGCGTGATCTCCTCGGTTTGTGCGGCCCCCTCGCGGATCACGGCCTTCAGCTCGTCCTCCGTCGGCGGCTGCGGGAACCGATACGCCTGCGCACCCAGCCGAGGAAGCCTCCCGTCCACCAACAGGGGAATCGCCCGCTCGAGCCCCTCGGGGTCCGACCCGTCCAAGTACTCCGGGTAGAGGTCCTTGCCGGGAGTCTGGAGCACCCAGTGGGGCCCGCTAATCGGCCAGGCCGCCAGCCTCTCGTGCCAGACGGTGTCGTCGGCGTACCATGCCAGCAGCCGAGACCCCGGCATCAGAGTCCTCCAGAACTCCGAGTCCACGGCGGCGAGCGGCGCGATCGCCATTGCGTCGGAGGCAGCCGCAGCAAGAGCAGGCGAGCCGACCGCATTCCCAGAGACCGCGCCCCAGGAGCTGCCCTGGCAGTCCCGCGCCGAAAGCCTGCAGCACCGGATGCCAGGGCGAGCCGCCAGGCACCTTCTCCGCCCTGGGCAGCGGGCGCGACCGCCCGGACGCCGCGGGGCACACGCACTCGCAGGCCGGGCACGCGGGCTCCACAGGCGCCGCGGGGCGCAGAAGCCAGTAGGTCAACGCCTCGTGGCCCGCCAGCAGCAGCAGCTTCTGGAGGGGCCCTCCAGCCATAAGATGTCCATGCCGAAGGTCGCAGGCTCAACCCTGTGAGCCAAAAAGACTGTTGAGCGGAGCAAAAGGGAAGATGCTGAACAAGCGTGGACGGCGACAAGCTGCTCTCCTCCCCATGCCTGTGCACGCACTCCTATCATCAACATCAACATCAACATCAACATCAACATCAATCATCATCGTCCTCCTCGTTGGTATCATCGTCGGTATCATCGGATTCATCCCCATCAATTCCGTATGCACCATCATCATCATCATCGTCAATGGCATCGCTATCGTCATCACCACAACCATCGCCATCGTCATATCCAAATCGTCATCATCGCGGTCTTCCTAATATCAATCTAGATCACCGTCATCGCCACCATCACAACCGTGATCATCACCGTCATCATACAGTCGGCCCGTATCACAAGGATGCGCGATGAGGATGCAAGGGCCTTGGACGCCTATGTCGAAGCTTTTCGAGCGGGGCGCGGCCAACGAAAGTGGCCAAGGATGGATCGAGGAGGCAAGGGTGCAAGGGTACCCTTGGGAAGGTTGCCCATCCTTACTATGCGGGTTGACTGTACTCGTCGTTGTTATGTCGGCCTCTCTCTCTCATCCTCCTCAACCGTCTCCTTCAGCCTCGCCTTCTTCACCTCATCAGTTCATCCTCCTCCCCCTCCTTAACCAATTGGATTTCGTCCTCACCTGGTGCACGACTCCTGTTGCAAGGCTGGGAATTCCATACACGGGCAGATCCGACTACGCACGCACGCCGCCCATCTGACGACCCATGGACTACAAGCAACAATGCGAATCATTGGGTCGTAAATTCCACCGTGCACCCCTTGGCTCTGTCTGGAGCATTCTGCAGACAGCGTTCCGTGGGGCAGCTCGGCTTACCTTTGGCTCAACGCGGAGCATTTTGCAGACAGCGTTCGTCACACGGATGCAGGCACCGACTTGCGGGACCTTCGTTAACAGATTTCCGTCGATCATGCTGCCATCAGTGCGAGCGGGCCCCAACTGCAAACATATACCAGCGGGGGACACCAATGGCAATGCGCTATCTCCTGCCGCAAGGTGGTGGCCCGCCTGCGACGCCTCCTGTTGCAAGGCTGGAAGTTGCATGTGATACGCAAACACAAACCCCTAAACAATAAAGGACAGGCCTCAGCTTGAAGGGCTTGCTTGCAAATGTCTCAAACGAGACCACTCACATGTTTAGGGATACCCCTAAGAATCGATAGCCTAAGTCAGGCCACGAGAGTTCATTGTGTTATCAAGGTTAGTGGTTGTATTATGCTTATTGTGCATTGGCTGGAATGTTTATAAAGCACGCGCGACGTCGTCCTGGGAGCCCATACCTCTCACGCACTCCGTGCCCCATGGACCTCCAGAAAGGGTCCATTCGGCGGCCAACCGCTACCCTTCGCCCTTTTTCCCACTGTGTCGACCTCCTGGGAGGCACTCGTCGCCACCGCTGGATTCGCCTGGATATTACTCTGGTCAGAACGCACCCCAGCAGAGGTCCAAGGAGTAACTGTATCGGTCCTGTTTGGTCTCCCCAATGCCGGGTGATGGGGTTGTGTGCAGAAGTGCACGCTAGGATCAGCTCCACTCCTGGGACAAGCAGCATTACGAATGATATGCGCACCTCGACTACTGGAGTGCGGGGCAGAACACGGTGGACCTGCGCTCACAGGCTTGTGGAACGCGTCAAAAAATGTGTTCGTGCCTTCATATTCTCGGGAGCCCCATTTATGCACACCCCTCACACACTTCGAGCCATACGGACCACCAGAGAGATCCAGCTACCCTTTCAGGCAGCTCAAGGAGTCTTCTTTTCGGTGCACCCCTCACACACTTCGCGCCACATTCACCCCATCAACCCTCGGCTGGCCCTCCAAGACGCTTCCCGAGAGCCTCAAGTCGGCACACCCGTCATGCTCTTCAGGCAAGGGCAAGGAAAAAGAAATAGGACGCGAACGGGCAACGATACGGGAAGGATGAGGAACGTGGAGCAGGAAGGGGGTTGGAGACAGGCTGCGATGCCTGCACTCACTCCTGCTGCGGGGCTAGCTTCCACAGGAGCAGGCACCATACATGCTGCACGAGATCTCCGAGCAAAAGCGGCCCCAAAAACGAGGCCGCGGCGTTACGCAGAGTGCGCAAATAACGGGGCCGTTTCCCAAGGCCTCTCCGAATCGAGCACTCTTGAGCCAGAATGGGAAGGACGTCAACGGCGAAGACCCCCTGACTTCCCCTGGGATGCGTTCTGACTGGAACTTCGAAAGGGAGTCCAGCCGTGGCGACGAGGACTCAAAAACGCCGAACAACTCTTGAGCCAAAATGGCCGACGACGATGAAAACCCCAACCACATTGCACTCAAAACTGGCTTGTGAACCCCTCTGGGGATCCATCGAGGCCGGGGACTGTACCACCCTGAATGTATGTCTGATGAAACCCGAAGCGGGCCCCCAAATGCCGAAAGGGGCGAAAGAAGTCTCGCACCTCCGGAAAAGACGAAGGTGGCAACAGCGGCGGTGGAGCAAGAAAACCCCAACAAGACAAAGAAGCGATCTGGGCTTGAACAGAGGCTGCACTAGAGAGGAGAACCCCTGCTCAATTTTCGGTACACCAGAGGAATCATGCTAGACCACTCCCAAACGAGCCATGTCAGATCCCTTCCCGTCGTAGAATTCGCCCGGGCCTCGTGACAAAAATTCCCCCGCATCATTCCAAACAACTCCAGCCAGACCCCCCCCGCCACTCATACTACTCAATGTGTTATGAAGTCGCAAGTATCCACAGCCGGGAACCCCCTCCTCTTTGGCAAAGCCGTCCACGGTGACAGTTCAAACAAAAACTGGCTGGACCGACAATGATCTCGACACCGACAGGTCGAGAGCAGCCTGGAAGGGCGCGCCGACGTAGCAAAACCCCAATAACCAACTGAATCGACACGACCGAAAACAACCGACCGACCGAACCGCTCGAACCGCGGACACCCGCACCCGGTGACTCCCTCCGCTTTGGCAAGACCGAACACGGCGATGGATGGTACAAGCAAAAACTTGCCGAATCGACAACGAAACCGAAAACGACGCGGGGAGCCCCCTCCCCGTTTCAGATGCTCCTCCTGGGGATCTTCCTGAACTCACCCACTCGTGCGTCGGTTCCGCACCCAGTGTCCGTCGACTTGGCGCGAACTTGAATCGAACAGATCCGCTAGGTGGGCCTCAAACAGCATCTGGCTGACGGGCAATGCGAGGGGTGTACCAGCCCTGGGGGGTAAACGCCGAGCCGGAATTGGCGATACATCGCCGATGGATCGGCGATGTGCTCCCGATGGCGCATCCGCACGCTTCTGGGCGGGGCGGCTGGGGGATCAGGCCCCGACTAGGCGAGCACTGGGCGACCGGGGGTCGACACGCTCGCCCCCCTGAGCCTGTCACCCCCTGAGCCCCTCGGTCCGACGAGGGCCTGCCCCGCCCACTCCCATCCTGCCGGTCAGCGGGCGGTCGGGGGTCGAGGCGTCCCGCCACGAGCCTGTCACCGCCCAATCCGTTGGTCCCACCAGGGCCTGCCCTGCCCCCCCCCGTCCTGGCGGTGGCGGCTGGCGAGAAGCGGCGGCTCGGCGCGGGCGGGCGCAGCCTCGGCGTCTTGCTCCTCGTACGGCAGCGCCTCGCCGCCGCGGCCTCGCGGGGGGAGGGGGACCTAAGGGGGGAGGGGCGGGAGAACGACGAAGACGGAGGGAGGATGTGCTTCCGCCACGGAGGGAGGAACGGGATGGAGTGGACCGATCGCGAGGAGGGGTTGAGGAGAGACATGGGAGTGCGAGGGCGACATGGAATGTGAATATGGGGAGGCATGGGGAGGCGGAGGGGGGAGGGGGGCCATCGGGGCGGATCGCAACGACTGCGGACCTATCGTCGACCACATCGGACCGATTTATCACAAACGGTCATGATCGGGCCTTTGGTTGGGACGTTTTGGGGGAACTGCAGACTTGGTTCAACTACTAGAAGGCTTTCACGAACGTTTATGTGGCGCTATGTGGCGCAATCCACGTGGTGCATTTCAGGCGGTGCGCAATCTTCTCGGTGCAATCGACGTGGTGCAATCCAAGAGGTGCAATCTGCGTCGTGCTAACTGCGCGGTGTAGCTGAAATGGTGTAGGATCTGTGGCGCTATCTATGCTGCGCTCTCGAGTGGTGCAGCCTGCGTTCTGCAATCCATGTTGTCCAATGCTAGCGGTGCAATATATGATGCCCAGCGTGCGCGGTGCAATCTGCGTGGTGCAATCTGCGTTGTGAATCTACACGGTGCTATCTACAAATGCAATCCATGTGATACAACATAATGTAACGGCGACCGGCCTACTCAATGCTCTGTGCAGCCGGGGTATCCATAGCAGGCCCATGTATCTGTATACATGCATCTCCACCTATAAATGTGCGTAGATATGGGTGTATCCATACATGTACGTGAACGCATGGTTATATTGAATTTTACGCGACTGGATATGTACTTGTTGGTGTCCGTATATGTAGGTATGCAGAATAAGTTTAGTACTACGTACGATGAAACATATACAACATCCCAGACAAGCCGGACAAAACTTGCGCGATGAAACGACAAAGTATACGATCGGAAGGTTGTGGACAGCGTTCAAGCAAGAGCACCGATCCCGATCAAAGACGTCGCCAACGCAGGGGCGAGAACGCCATTCACAGCCAAGAGTGTGGCCAGCGCTCAGTCGGCACCACCACTCGCAACCAGGGATGTATCTAGCACGCAAGCGGCCGCGCAATTCGCAACTCCGAACGCAGCGCCCTCCCCCGAATTTGTTCCGTACAACATAATATGTAATATGTGCATTCGTGACTATATATACACGTATACACGTATGAGTGAATTCTCTGGACACTGTAGGAAGACAGACGATTCCCTAATGAATCCTCGGGTTCCTTCGAAATGCGTATTCCCCGACGGAACCCTGAGGGAACCCAGACTAACTGCATAATTGATTAGGAAACTCCAAAGATCCCGAAGAACCCGTCGGAACAGGAATCCCTGGGAAGGAGGCCGACCGCCTCAGCGGTGGCAGCAGCCAGTCAGCGAGGCCAAGAGTCGCTACGCCAACGAAAATGCTTTAAACGCTCACTTTGCTGCACCGAATCTTTGCCACGAGCACGAGAGCCTGATATCTCTGAATGAGACTGCGGACTCAGCTCCACCATTCGCCGGCGCCGTCGGCCATGTGAGCTCTGCCAGGCATGGCAATCGATTGGCGCCAACAGAGCTCAAAACCCTGAGCGCGCTCAAAGACATAATCAGGGCCAGGACTTGGCAAGCTGTGCTGCACGCTGAAAGCCTGCTCAACTTGCGTGACGAGATAAGGTGTTACTGCTGCCCATTGGTTGTTACTGCGGCCCGGTGGGTGTTAGTATGGCCAGGGTTCCTCCGGAGTGCATTAATTAACGAGTACGGTGAAGGGGGGGGGGCTCCAAAGAAGCTCCCCCCCCCTTCACCGAAGAGCCTCTCGGAAGAGCCTCTGGCGCTCTCCGAAGAGCCGTTTGGAGCCGCCGAAGACCTTCTTGCAGCCGCCGAAGAGCCTCTTGGGGGTTCGCCGAAGAGCCTCTTGGGCTCTCCGAAGAGCCTCTCATGGCCTCCGAAGAGCTTCTTGGGCTCTCCGAAGAGCCTCGTGGGCCTTCCGAGGAGCCTCTTGGGGCCGCCGAAGAGCCTCAGCCGCCGAAGAGCCTCTTCGAGCGGCCGAAGAGCCTGTTGTTGTTGTTGGTGTGGTGGTTGTTGTTGTTGTTGTTGTTATTGTTGTTGTTGTTGTTGTTGTTGGTTCGGTTGTTTGTTAGTGTGTGTGTGTGTTGTTATTGTTTGGCTGTTGTTGTTGTGTGTTTTGTTGCCGAAGACACCCTGGGAGCAAGTAGTACCCCCTGGGCCTAGTAATCCCTAGGACTAGTAATCCCTATGATTAGAAGTCCTTCGGACGAAAACTCCCCAGGTCTAGTAATCCCTAGCATCGGTAATTCCTACGGCTAGTATCCCCTAGGACATGTACTCCATAGGACAAGTACTCCTTAGGACTAATACGCCCAAGGACTAGTGCCCCCTTGCCCCTTGGACTAGAATCCCTAGGACTAGTACTCCTTAGAGGTAACAATCCCTAGGACTAGTACTCCCTAGGGCGATCAATTCCTAGCGCCAGTACTTCCTAGGGGTAGCACTCCCTCGGACTAGCATTCCCTAGGACACCGCAGCACGAACACTCCCTAGGACTAGCCCTCCCTAGGACTAGTACCCCCTAGGGGTAATAATTCCTAGGACTGGTACTCCCTAGGGCTAGCACTCCCTACGGCTAGTATTTCGTAGGACTAGTACGCCCTATGAGTGGTATTCCCTAGCACGGCACCGGTCGCAACGAGGCATCCTCCCTGAACCGTCTTGAGCCAAACATGGTTTGTGGAAGAGGGAGAGGGAGGGGCAGGGAGAGGGGAAGGGGGAGGGATAGGGAGCGGGAGGAGGAGAGGGACGAGCAGGGGGGGGAGGAGTAATATTCTCCAGGATGCAAGGGTGCACGTGTTCTCTGAGATCTCGCAAGGCAAGGATGCAAAACGCTCGGCGTCTCCTTCATCTCCTCGGCCTCGCCCAGGGTCCCAGGATGCCTCGTCCTGCCAGGCCCGTAGTTATCAGGTTCGCAATCGAGGCACTGCTATATCCTCTCTACTACTACAAACCCGGCGCGATCCGCGATCCTGGTGTGAGCCCAAGGTCAAATCTGAGCGCCTTGACGGCTGGGGGGGCAAGGTGGGGTCCAGAAGGGCAACCAGGAGGAGCGTCTCGGAGACCTCACAGGGGGTCCAAAGGAGCGCGGGCCCGTTTCAACATTGAGCTCCCAGGGCTTCTTCAAACACTATTACCACTACAGCACTACCACAGTACGGACGCAACGCTACCACAGTACTACAGCACTACAACACCACTACCAAAAGACCAGTACCACAACACCAAAGCACCGCTACCACAGCACCACAACACCGCTACCACAATACCACAAACACAACACCACAACACCACTACCACAAAACTACGACCTACCAACAACTCAACAACACGACCAACACCACACCACTAACAGCACAACCACATCACCACTGCGAGTCCCAAACAGGGGTATGGTATGGCCTCGCTGCGTACTAATACTTCCACTACTACGACGACGACGACGACGACGACTACTACTACTACTACTACTACCACTAATACCAGTACTACTACTACTACTACTACTACTACTACTATTACTACTACTACTACTACTACTACTACTACTACTACTACTACTACTACTACTACTACTACTACTACTACTACTACTACCTACTACTACTACTACTACTACTACTACTACTACTACTACTACTACTACTACTACTACTACTACTACTACTACTACTACTACTACTACTACTACTACTAGTACTACGCTACTACTACTACAACTACTAATACCACGACTACGACTACTACTACTACTACTACTACTACGACTACGACTACTACTCCTACTCCTACTCCTACTCCTATTCCTACTACCACTACTACTACTACTACTACTACTACTACTACTACTACTACTACTAGTACTTACTACCACTACTTACTACCTTGCAGCGCTACTACTACTACTGCTACTTTTACTACTTCTTCTACTACGACTACTACTTCTACTACTACGACTACTACTACTACTACGGCTGCTACTACTACGACTACGACTACGACTACGACGACTACTACTACTACTAATAATAATACTACTATTAGTACCAGTACTAGTAGTAGTACTACTACTCGTAGTAGTAGTAGCAGCAGCAGTAGTAGTAGTAGTAGTAGTCGTAGTAGTAGTAGTGGTAGTGGTAGTAGTAGTAGTAGTAGTAGTCGTAGTAGTAGTCGTAGTAGTAGTAGTAGTAGTAGTAGTAGTAGTAGTCGTAGTAGAAGTAGTAGTAGTAGTAGTAGTAGTGATAGTAGCAGTAGTAGTAGTAGTAGTAGTAGTAGTAGTAGTAGTAGTGGTAGTAGTAGTAGTAGTAGTAGTAATAGTAGTGGTGGTCGTACTGCAACTACTATTATTTCTACTTCTACTACTACTACTACTACTACTACTACTACTACATTTTTTCCAGGCGGGAGTTACTGTGGCCACTCTTGCCTGCGCGGGAGCGCATTCCCTTGAAGGGTTGCGAATCTCTCCAGATCTACCATGAGATACCTTTACATCTTACTTCTCATTTGGCGGCCAGCGCGGGCCACAGTAAGTCCCATCAGGCCGCGCGACGGACCACACTCACACCCAACGGGCCACACTAACACCCAACGGGCCACACTAACAACCGGTCGCCTTGCGTGACCCACCGTCCACACTGCGATGCAACATCAATCAAACTTTGGGATAGCCTTGCCCAGGGAAGCGCCGGTCCACACGTCGCGGGCATTCAAAGCTGAAGGTCGCAACACTTCTGCCCAAAACCGCGGTCCAGCAGGAGTTTGGCAGCTCGAACACCACGCCGGCGTCCGACTTGAACGTGGGCGCCAGGCGACTGAATGATTGCAACATCTTCTTGAAGCTGACTGGGGACCTGCTCCCGCTGCCTTTGAACTGACGACTCGCGAGCCTTCGAGCGCT